ATAAATGTAAGATTTTTGCTTTCTGTCCCCTCTGGTTTGGTATCTTGTGAAAATCAGACGATGGTTCCTGGCAACAAGTAATATAAAGAAGTTTTATTTGGCTGTTTCCTAAAATCATGCTGGTCTGCCTATCCTCGCTGGTTTGATCCGTACATATATTTCGGCTTCTCGCCATCTTCAGTGTTGGGTTTGATGATTGGATATAACCAAGTTACCAAAACACAGAAGTTAAACTAATTGAATAAGACTATTGCTTATCATTAAACAAACTTGAGGGGCATCAGTGGCCGCAACGGTAGCGTTTGCTCTTCACTGTAAGGTTCGAATCCAGCGGCCCTGTATTCGACAAACTTACAATTTTTTTTTTTTTTTTTTTCAAAAACACCTACACCTGGTTTATATATCCTAGTAATTGAAATTTCCACGGAAAAGTGAGAAAGAGAGAGAAGAGGAAAATTGTAATTAATCGCCGAAATATCCCACAGATCAATATTATGTGATTGGCGAGAAACCGAAACGCGTCTGATTGACCAAAACAGCAAGGAAAACAAATCGAAATTATCGAAAACGACCCAACAACTACTGGTTCATAAGCTCGCAGAACTCCACTTACAATCTCATTAGTATTCATGTTAGCGCAGAATGCCTCTTGAGTTAATCATGTAAAAACTTAAGTATTTACTGTACCTTGTACTTTACATTGTAAGTTTTTAAAATATTGCAAGGATCCTTGTTTACGAAACTTGATTACTGTAAACGATTTAGTGTTGTTGGTTCGTACAAGGCAGTCACTAGGGTCTGTATATTCAGACTGTTAATGATAAGAAATGGCCAGATGGGATGATCAAAAGTAAAATAATATAAGAAATTAAATTATGGGTCGATGATCCCGTTTTAGATAAGAAGAACCCCTTCCTTCGAAAAGTCAAAAGAAAGGGGCCTGTCCTGGGGGGTGGGAGCACCTTTTGAAGTTCATGCCGCCACGGCTAGTTGCTTCCCTTCACGTGGAAATTTATTGCATTTCCCCTCGCCCGAATGTACACAAACAGTTTGAATTTTTTTTTTAGTTTGTATAAAAATGACAGGAATAAACTTGGAACGTTTGCCTGGTGGCGAATGCGTCAACACATGTCAGGCCTTTTGAAATTAAGGAAGGGATGGAAAGGATGATGCTTTTTGGATAGTATTGAGACTTTGAAACTTTTTAAATCACATATACAAACTTGAACTCGCCTTTTTTTATACCTACATCCTGGCTGATATCGCAGTGTCAGCGAAATTTTCGACAGTCACGATTTTATCACCCGAAATAGGAATATTTCCACTGATGTTCAGCTTTCAAAATCTACTGTTTTGGTTGGTTTGAAAATTAAGATGTTTTTCTTCAAAAGGTGATCGAACTTCCATTTTTTCATGTTCGCTGACAAGCTCATCACAATGACTTTTACTCACGAAGTTCCGTGCTATGAATAGTCGATTTTCCCCATGTCAAACAGTTTTTAACTTTTTGACCAGATGGTATGGTTTTATTTTTCTTTAGCCAACATGTTCGTTTTCAATTTTACTATCGTTGTATGCATTAAATCATTAAAAAAGAAATCACACGCTTTGGCCGTGTCGTGTGTAATGTTCAGGAATGGAATGCAGATGCTCCTGGATTCCTCGTGCCTCATCTGATGCATCATCGAAATTCTTATTCTTGCATAGATGTCATATTTATGTTAAATATTCACGTTTAACATATGTTCAGGAATAGATAAAAATTTAATGTATTTATTTTTTTCTGTTGTTTTCATGGATGATTTAAATAACAGAATTTCACAAATGTTAAGGAATCAAGCCAGTAAATTGTATTAATAAAGTTATTTCTCAATGAAATTAATTCATCATAACCTTGAGTAACACTTAATTAAATAATAAATAATTATACTGTAAATATTTTTTTAAAGTTATTAATAAAGGCAAGCAACTACTAAAGGTCATAATTAAATAATTTGTTTAAAATGAATCATTTTTTTGTTACTAGGATGCTATTTGTATGACTTTCATGTTTTTGTATATTATTAAAATCATTGTTGGATGCGTGATCCATGACTTGTTTTCGTTTGGGAGTAATTTTTGAGTAAACACTTAATGTGATTTGGTTCCGATCATTGTGGTCCGCCTGGCATCGCTCGTGTGATCGTCTACTTTTGTCATTTCTCCAACATCTGTGTATGTCTGCGTGTTGTACCTCGTCGCTCGCGTCCCGGCCGAATGGTATAACATTTTATCCTAATTGTGATATTTCGTCTTCAAATATCACAATTATAATAAAAACGTCGGTTGGAATGTAAAACTGTAACTTGATGTTTACATATGAAGTCTGACACTAATGTGTGGTCTGTCGCACTGGTTTAGGCATTTTACCATCTTAAGCTTGTGTGAAATCAAAGGCCATATGTACACGATGTTTATCCAGCATAATTTTGTAGTTTGGTCAGTGACGAATTAAAGTTTGTAAAAAAAAGGTATCTTACGCTTTTGTTTGATGTGAGATGGGAAACGACCAATTCAGCTTCGTCATTCTGTTGACAGAAACAAGAAAGCGACATATTGTTTAGTATGATTAAAAACATGAATAATATACAGAGGTTTAATTCATGAGCAGTGCAAATAATCTTATCGTCTTGTTCATAATTTATGAAAACGCTGAAACACCCCGAGCTGAGGACTGCGTTAACGACTCGGCATAGTTAAACACACGGATCGAAGATGTTATGTGAAAGGGGAAAATAGCTATATGCGCTGGATTAGACTATTAGAGCGGAGGAAGGGACCCGGCTACAGCTCTTTCTCATGTTCTTGCCCCGGACTGTACCACTTGTAAGAGATGAATCTCTGGGCTAACAAGGGAGTAAGGCCCTGGTTCCTTCTTCGGTACTTACCTACCTGCTGCCCGCCCAGCCATCCTCGGTCATAACTCATCCAAATCCTCTCTCACGAGATTCGGCAACGTCGCTCCTCTACTAATACTAGTCACGGGCAAGTAATAATGATAAAGAAATGCGAATGCAAACGTTTAGCACGATTTTCCTATGAACTGCGTTGACGAAGATATAAATTGGACTTGGTTTGTTCTTAAAAAAAAAATCTTTTGGGTTTTTTAAAATGGAAAGTTGTTAAAAACGAATTGTCAGAATGATCTACGACCTTTGCAGTCAAGTATTAATGGGTCAGGAGTAGTTATAATATATTTTAATTAATTAATGTCATGCTGGCTTCCATATCAGCACAAATTTTGATGCTTTAAAACATTTATATCCATATAGTACTATCTAACAAGACTTTTCCACAAACACTCAAGAAAAAAATTATGTTATTTCTTGATTGAAAAATTATATCTTTTATGGCTTCAAATTAAGCGAACACCGCAGGTATAAAACATACACAAATTCAATTGTTACTGCCAATGTTTCGACCTATTTTAACGTCATCATCAGGGCAAAGAAATCTTAAATATGTATGCAAATTGATATAATTAAGTTTTTGATAGATGGTTTCAAATTTCTTTCAAAGGCTGACTCAGTGCCAACATTGCCAAGGACTGTGATTGACGTTGGGACTGAGTGGGTCTTCAAATAAATTGGAAATTATGTATTAAAAAGTTAATGATGTTCATTTGTAGACAGTTTTAGGATTATTTTGCTCTGATGATGACCTTAAAATCGGTTGGCAGTTTGGTAGATAATTGAACTAGTTTTTCATCCAGACCATTCTGAGATCCACCGTACCAAGATTCAGATAGTTTGCAAGTAAAAAAGTGGTCGTAACATGTAACACTTGAATAATAAAAACATTTATTAAACATTAACCTGCACACAAAGCAGAATATTTCAAGATTATTATTTAATATACATGAAATTCAAAAATTGAATATAAACACAAACAATTTTTTTATCTAAAATTATTAAGTATTAAATTATGATTTAGTAGATTAAATTTTATTTTATAATGTAAAATTTATGTTACGTATATTTATGTTAAAATTGACCTTGTCTTGGTACCAGGGCACACAGGGCAGAGGGGCAATGAAGAGGCACATAAATTGCCAAGGAAGGTTCGTTGAAGACACCTGTTAGCCCTGAACCCTTTTGCAGTATACCAAAGTGCCAAAAATATAGATGTCATGCAATGGATTAAGAATAAGTCCTCGGTTCAATGGGATTGTATTCCGGAGCAGAGGCATGTGAACAAATTAATCAAAGTACCATCTTAGAAATGAATAGGTGAACAGCTAAATCTGGGGCTAGAATGATAGTTGCAATGCTCACTGGACAATGCAGACTCTAAAGGCATGTCACTGGGAACTGCAGAAACAACTCTGTACTAATATTGCCAGGAAGAAGGGAAACAGCGGAAAATGTCCTCTGTTCGTACGAAGGCGCAGAATCTGATTCTTAATCCTGGGAGGGAAAGCCATAGCCTGAAGGATACAGACAGGAGTCCTTAATAAAGCGTTGGGATCTGATAAAAACCCTTAAGATTTATGAGGAGCTCTAGATAATAATGGAGATGGCACAGCAGACCAATACTGGCCATGGGACCAATACATAGCAACTCCTTTTAACCTTTAAAGAATTAATTATTTCTAAGAGATTAGGTAGAAACCACTACAGAACTGACATCTTTTACAAATCCAATGTTCTGAAGTATGTACTAGGAGTACTACATTCATCTGAACATTAATTACCATTTGTATTCCGCCTGTATTCACAATCTATAACGAAACTTTTCCACCTATATAAATATAAAATTTTATATATCAGTTATTATTTTTGTAAGGAAGAAAATGTATAATGTAAGGGCATAAGGTGGTTTAGGAATGATGTCAACCATATTTTTAAGGGTAATTAAATTTTACAGTTTCATAAAGATTGGTTACAATTAAAAAAATATTAATTATAATTAGTAAATTAGGAGAAACCTCTTTAGTGCTAGTGACATCTTTTAATAATACATTTCTCTTAGTATGTACTTTTTATTTTTGTAGTTCAAGAGGAAGGTTTTGTCAAAATAAACTGTCTAGTGGAAGGTTGGGGATCATAAAAAGCAAACTTTAAGAAATATTTTCGGTCTTTAGTACTGCATAGACTGCTCAGCATGGGGTATACTCTGTTTCAACTGGAGATCTGTTCCCAGGTTTACCCATGGCTAGTAGTGGATTGATCCAACTGGATATGTTTGAAGATGTATTAAATTTTATGCCATTTTTTGTTCAAATAACTCTTCGAAATGTAAACTACTTCTTCATCCTTGATGAAGAAATTTGCTGGGGTTTCCTGACCACCCTGACACCAGACGTTGCATCTTCCAGATGGTCAACGTCTCTCCTGATCGAGGTGTACGACGATATAGCTTCAGGTCTCAATACGGAGACACCCGCTGCATTCTGGCCTGCTCTCATTTGCATGGCAGCGGTTGCTGCTTGTTCCATCAGGGACCTGTGCAATGCCACTATGTTCTCCTCTTCTTCTACCGGTTTGTGCTGGACCATAGATTTCTCCTTAATTATTCGTGCTTTTGCCAGTGCTTCTTTTTCTTGCTTCGTCCTAAGTATGAGCCTACACAAAAGAAAACAATTATAAAAATTGTATTTGGTTGTTAAATTTGACGATTATAACCTGTCATCTTGCATGATCCATGGACTGGAGAGCAACTGAGATGCGGATAATCTCTTTCCAACATCGGGTTCCAATAGTGACATGACTGCACTACGGTAATGTGAAGTGTGGGCTTCTTTTGTATCAAAGCTTACACGTTTTTCCAGTTGCCTTTGGATCATAGCCTCCTGGTTTGTAGAGCCGGTGAATGGGAGTCTTCTATTTAGCATCACATATGTCACCACACCTAAAGACCACATGTCGGATTTACGGGCGTCATACCTGCAAGAAATTTAGTTATACTACTTTTTATTTAGTTTAAATAAATCTATTTTACTTTCGCCCTCGAAGAACTTCAGGTGCTGTATATGGCATTGATCCGCAGTGTGTCTGACACAAATTCTCCACTGAAATACAATATTGTAATTTTTTCATTTGTTTGTATGCATAGTTGAAAATTATTACCTCCGTTTTGATATATGTTTCGAGCAAATCCAAAGTCAGATAGTTTGGCATTAAAGCTAGCTGTGATGAGTATATTTTCTGTTTTGATATCCCTGTGTACGATACCCATTTCATGCAGATACTCTAACGCTAGAGCAAGCTGAGCGGTCCACGACCTGGCTCTCCCCTCTCCAACCTGATTTTTCTTCAGAATGTACTCTAAAAGGTCTCCTTTTTCGGCCAACCTATTCAGAAAATTTTCATATTGAAAATGCCCCGTTGAAATTTCTCTGAGATATTTTTATTACCTCATGAAAATGAAAAATTTGTTTCCCTTATGAAGCATGCTATATAAATGGATGATGTGAGGATGGGATATTTTGGTGAGGATATCAATTTCTCTTGCCAAGAACTTCTTGGCAAAATTGGCCGGTGCCTTTGCCGCGTCTATCACCTTGCAGGCAAGCCAGTGCGTTTTCCCATTGTCGACTTTCTTGCATTGATACACCTGTAAAACTTATACGTTAAAACATCCAAACATTCAAACATTTTAATTTAAATCATACCTTGGCATATGATCCCTCTCCGACAATATTCTCAATTATGTAACCCCTGTTCGTCAAAATCTGAGCATCAGATTTTGACAGAGGGTGCTCAACTGGTGACTTTGCACTCATTTTGATAGTATGTCTATAAATAAATATAATATACTATTTTTTTTTTTCAGGATACCCGACATTATTGTTCACTACATCAAAGGATATCAGAATTGCAAACATTTCTAGACCATATTCATCAAAAGTTGCTATTGTTGTAAAGGTAGGATATACAAAAAATTTATATAATGAATTAAAAGAATTAAATGTTGCTTTCCAATAAAATTAGGTGAAAATCAAAAGAATCTCAGTTGTTGAATAACTTTATAAAAGAAAACTTTCAAATGTAAGAGTTAATGAAGTAAAAGTTTCTTGGTGGACAATTTTTTCAAGTATTTATTTATTTTATGCCGTACTATTTGTACGCACAAACAATTCACGGCTTATCTGTTGAGTTATATGTCCAGAAGTAAGAAATCTACATATTAATATCAAATGTCATACGTACTAAATTCACAGCAGAAAAAAAACAAAATAGATACTATCGACCGCGTTCTCCTATCTTATATAGGGAATTGAGATTTGATCTATCTCTGTTGCCACCTTTGCTCTTGATTTTATGTGAGTGTGAAGAAGTATTGTGTGTATTACGAAATGATTTAGCCTCCTGTGTCTTTAATAACTTTCATTTTCCTTCTTCCTTAGCAGTAAGGTCTATGAGGTATGCTAGAAAATAAAGAAATCTTATTATTAATTTATAATTTCGTAGGATCTTGAAGGTGCAGCAGCTGTGGATTACTATCATGAGGGGCGTCTTATATGCTGGACCGATTCAAGACTGGGAAGCATACAATGTGCTTCGTATAATGGCAATTATGTTGGTCCAAAGGTACAGTTGTGTTATGCTCTTTTAATGTTAAAAATATTAAATCAATTTAAACACTATGACTTATGTGTTTTTTAGCAACCGGTGGTTCAATAAGTGAAGTAGTGAGGAGCTACATCAAGTTCGATGCATATCAGAAAAACACCTTTTTCATGTTTGAACCTTTATTCGAGTCATCTTCAAGGCTGAAAAGTCAGCAATTATTACATGGAAAAAGGTGTTTTTCCAATGTACATCGAACTTGATCGCTCCTCACTACTTCAACCAGCTATGACTTACGTTCATGCTTTCTTTTATATTTGCATTTTAGAAAAAAAAATAATAGTGACAGCAAGAAGTTTTAACAAATTTACTTAACAGTGCTTTCTTTTTCAATTTCTTACAAAAGGAATTGACTGTAAAAATTCCCTAATGCATAATTATTTGACATTATGTTAACATAAATTACTTGCCTTAAGCCTGTAAAGTAATTATGATTTTTTTTAAGCTATGGAGGAAACATAAGTAGCTACTTATATGCATAATAATCACATAAAATAAATATATAAATTATTGGATTTCTTTTTGAGGTCTGCAGGGGTGATTAATTAATCTTTAGTTCAGATGTTTCTGATCATCTTGGTCTTATCTTCCTTTTTTAGTCTATCAGTAATATTTTTTGAAAAGAAAAAGGAAATAAAATGTCTGACATACAAAACAAGTGATAGGTAGACCAGAATGATCGGAAATGAGAAAACTACTCTGAATGTTTTGCTGTTTCCTAAGTTGAGTAGAGGAAAAACTTATTTAAATTTTTTATATTGCAGTTGTACAGTTTTTAACCCCATTTATGATTCTTTAATCCAATACTGTGTCCTGGCAAACAGCTTTTTATATATTTTTAAATTCTAATATGTTTACTTGAATTCATAGTTGTGCCATGGGAACTTCTGATGGTTTATGCAAATTACAAAATTTTTCTAGGCCAACGCGCCATATTTTGACTTCTCCAAAGCTGTATTGTGATTTGCATTTTAAACTGCGACAGTTTTTTTTTCTGCATGCACTATTTGATGTATTTTTATACTGGTTATCATGTGGACTAATCTGTCTTCTAAAAATTCTAAAGATAAACATATCGAAATTTGCTAAAACTCTAAATTTGTCCAGTTGGGCCTACAGCCTTTTTCCAGCAGCAGAACTTTCACTGAATTTTTATGCTTGGGCTCTTTATGTCTCTCGTCTTCTTGAGAAGTTTCTTTCATTATTAAGATGAAATAATTTGCACCGATTTAAAAAGGCTTGTCAGTTGAAAAATTTCCATAGCAGCTGTCTCAATCTCCAAGATGTAGTGTTTTGTTTGAAATATGTGAATTGTGTTTTGTTTGAGTTTTGAATTGGCACGATTACTGTATTTCTGATAGTATCAAATCAAAGTTGATAATTGAAAAACTAGAATATTTTTGGGCTAGAATTTGAGTACCAATGTTGATGTAGATAAAATAATTCTCTTTTCCATGATCGGCAGCTATCTCTTCAGCTTCAATTTAAGTTTGTAAGTCAGATCACAGCCATCCTTGTCAGTCCTTAGCCGGTTTTGCCCACCGCGGTGTACTGAAGTCGCCTGGGAATTGATCATTCTGACCAATCACTGGGATTGGGCAAAATGATAAACCTTGATACATTTGTTGTTTCACTAGCAAATGGATAAAATGAAAAGCTATAGGTTGCACATATGTCAAACACAAAGTCAGACAAAAAATAAATCATCACTTGTTTAAAACTTATTTTCCTTGAATAAAACTCTAGCTGTACACTAGGTGTAATGGGTTTTAGTTAAAATTCGACTTACGCTTCCTGCATTCTAGACCTTCTGTCTATGTTGGGTCACTAATTTGGTGTTTATGTTTTACATGTTCCCCTTGTGTAAATTGTGATGAAACACATTTTTAAAAAAATCTGATTGCTGTAATAATTTTTAATTTTGTAACTTCTTTTATTTATTTTTGCTTTTTCTCAGATGAATGTCGTCGCGAGTGGGCTATTCCTACCGGAAGGCCTAGCCTGCGATTGGCTCACTCAGAAGCTCTATTGGACAGATGGAGAGACCAATAGGATCGAGGTCATCACGATGGACGGCAAGCAGAGAAAAGTTCTCTTCTGGGACATTGACCAGCCCAGGGCAATTGTCGTCGTACCGAATGATAGGTCGGCAATTTTCCCCCTCGTTTATGTTTTTAATAAATACATTTTTTTATTGTTGTTTTATTTTTATTTTGTAATGTTGTTTTAGTATAATGTTTTGGTCTGATTGGGGTGATGTACCAAAAATTGAGAGAGCCTCAATGAATGGTGATCCACACAGCAGGAAAATAATTGTCTCTGATGACATTTATTGGCCAAATGGCATGACAGTTGATTACGATGCCAAAAGAGTCTACTGGCTGGACGGGAAACTTCGTTTTATCGCCGTAAATTATTTGAATACTTTTGAGTTTATTCTGAAAACTACACTTTTTTCTATTTTTATTAAAAAATTTTTAAAGTAATTTGTTTAGTGCAAATTTATTTAAGTAGTTCACCAAATCATTTTAAAATCTTTTTGTAAAAAATTTCTCTCTCTCTCTCTCTCTCTCTCTTAACAATATTGTACCAATTAATTTATTCACATTACATGATAGCCATCATGTTTAATTCTAATAGTTTTAAAATAATTTTAGTGGATTGATCTTAAATGTTAGTTGGTACATTATTGAAATTACTACTACTAGATATGAATGTAAACCATTTTTTAGGTGATGGATTATGATGGAAGAAATAGAAGGAAACTGATTGAATCTGATGTCCCATACCCTTTCTCACTTACCATTTACAAAGAAAAGATGTTCTGGACTGATTGGGAGACGTGGTCGATCCACACATTCGACATTAATACTAGTCAAACCAAGGAACTTTTCCATATTGCCAGTTCAGCGCCTTTCGATGTACGAGTGATGGATCCAAGCAGACAGCCTCCTAAGATTACACCCTGTTCTGTAAATAATGGTGGATGTTCTCACCTCTGCCTCCTTTCGCCGTACAGCCCAGGCTATTCCTGCGCTTGCCCAACAGGAGTCAAGTTAATCGACAACTATACTTGCGCAAATGGACCTCAGGAGATGATCCTGCTCGTCCAAGTAAATGAAATCTGTCTGATCTCGCTGGATTCACCGGACCATACGATTATTTCGCTTAACATAGTTGGAATCAAACATGCCATCGGGATAGACTATGACCCAGTGAACAGTTACATATACTGGACTGACAATGAGGCTCAGGTCATTCGTAGGGCAAAGTTAAATGGCACAGAGAGTTCAGATCAGATGGATATTGTTTCTTCAGAACTTCAATCGCCTGACGGCGTTGCCGTTGACTGGAGGGCACAAAATCTTTACTGGACAGATTCAGGCACGGACAGGATACAAGTTCTAAGATTACAAACTACATTCAGTAAAGTGCTTATAAATAGCGGATTAGTGGAGCCGAGAGCTATTGTTGTCGCTCCTGATGAAGGCTTAATGTTCTGGTCAGATTGGAATGAGAAAAATCCAAAAATAGAAAGGGCAGGTCTTGATGGTTCTATGAGGACTCTTTTAGTGCATGATCATTTAGGCTGGCCCAATGGAATCGCACTCGACCACCCTGCAAAAAAACTCTATTGGTGTGACGCTAAAACTGACAAAATTGAGGTTATTATTTTTTAATATTGCAACTTTATTAGCTTAGTTTAAAAATTGTAATATACGTTTTATTTTTAAAGGTTATCAATTATGACGGAACCGATAGAAAGGAGATTATAATGGACAATATACCACATGTTTTCGGTCTCAGCTTGCTTGGCGATTACCTCTATTGGACTGATTGGCAGAGAAGGAGTCTAGACTCAGGTCATAAAATTACTGGTGCTAACAGAAGGGTAAAATTGCGACATATTTATTTTTAGTTTTGTTCTGTAGTTCATTTATTTCATTTAATATCATTTCATTTGATAGATAATACTCGACTTAGCGAACATGATGGGACTGAAGGCAATAGGGAAAATGATGAAACCTACCAAGTACAACCCGTGCGCTCAAAATAACGGAAATTGTTCTCACCTCTGTCTAAACACACCGACGAAATATACTTGCGCTTGCCATATAGGTAATTACCAAAGTTCTCTGTATTTAACAAAATACATATATTTTACTATTTAATGTAATATTTTGTGTTTTAGGTTATGAACTTGAAGCAAACGGATTCTCTTGTGTTGTACCAAAAGCATTTTTGCTCTTTGCTAAAAAATACAATATTGGCAGAATCAGTATTGAAAATGCTCAGAATGATGCAATAATTCCTGTCTCTGGAATAAAAGATGCTAGGTAAGAAAGTTTTCTGTAAACTTACATATGTAACACTTTATTTTTTTTTTTTTTGGGGGGGGGGTTTGGGCATTAGGGATATCTGATTCAACAAAATATTACATTTGATTTGTTACAGTGCACTCGATTTTGACATCAAAGATGGCAGGATTTATTGGACTGATGTGAAAGCCAATGCCATTGCAAGGTCTTATATAAATGGCTCGCATGTTGAAAAAATTGTAGAGTTTGGTCTGGAATCTCCAGAAGGTATATTTCACCACCGTTTTACCCATGATGTGTATTTGAATTAACTAAATCTATGTTTATCAAGGTCTTGCAGTCGATTGGTTAGCTCAAAATGTTTACTGGACTGACGCATCTATGAAAAGAATCGAGGTGGCCAAACTCGACGGCAGGTTTAGGAAGACTATAATCTGGTCTGGGCTGATCGAACCGAGGAGTATCGCAGTGGAGCCGAAACGCAAATTCATCTTTTGGAGTGATTGGGGCAACTCTGGCTCAATCAACAGAGCACTCTTAAACGGGGCCTCACCGAAGGTTATTCTGGCCAACATTGGCCGTGCCAACAGCTTGACTATTGATTATGGAGAGGGAAGGATATACTGGTGTGCGATCCAAGGATCAATCGAGTCAGCTTATCTTAACGGGACAGAAAGATCTACGCTAGTGAAAAGTCCGCGACCTTTCACTATGTCAATATATCAGGTAATACAACATATAACATTTATGCTGATAACATTCTTAATTTTGAATCTTAATTTTAGGACAACGTATATTGGTCAGACTGGGAAACAGGGCAGTTGTACGTTACAAACAAACATATGGGTCAAAACAAGACATTGCTCCATCCTCAGGCTGAACAAGTGACGTCTGTCGTCGTCTACCATAGTTGGGCTCGATTGGGCTGGACAAACTGCACCAATGGTGGAGGGTGTGCACACCTCTGTCTTGGATCATGCACCTGTCAAAATCATTACACCTTAAGTGGTGATAAGTGCCTGCGTGAGTTATTTTTAATGTCTTTTTTAATTTGTTTTAATATCTATGTTCTTTTTATTTATTGTTGTAAAAATCTTCAGCTCCTTCATCATTCATGCTGGTAGCGACTAAAAATTCGGTGAGTCGACTTGTTTTTGAGTCTGGTGTCTGCCCTGACTCACCTCTTCCCATACATGGTTTGAAGAATGTCAAGTCAATCGATTACGACCCTATCCACAATGCACTTTATTGGGTAAGATACTTTCATCAATACATTCTTATATCTTTTCTCTCTCTTCACAGTTGTCGGTTTAGAACCTAGTTTTTCCCTAGAAATTTTGTAGTTAGCATGTATTAGGTTGTAAAATAAGGCAGTAGTGTGGATTCAATGAAAATTTCAGAATATATTTAATCAACAATATAGGAACTTTTTTAATCCACCTATCTGGTATCATCTTCCATGTAATTCTGCAATTCCAGGCTCCTAGAACATCTCAGGTTTTTGAGGAATAACTCCTCAAGGTTTTTTTTTCCAGTCCTCAAGCGAAGTAAAGTTTTCACGTTAATTGAGTTTTGCAGAGTCCAGAATAAGTAGAAATCTGTAGGGGCTTTGACAGGCAAATACAATAGGTGGGATGTGCTAACCCAGCCATGCTCGGAAAATTACTGATTCATCTGAAAAGAAGTGTGGAGGCGAGCTTTAATCATTTCAATTGTATACAGTGTACTCTACAATTAATGGTTTGTTTTGGCAGAAGTTCATATTAAAGCCATCTGCTTCCAATCCCACCAAATGCACCCACCTTGATGTATAATCTGGCATTTGGATTTGTTGCATGCAGTCCCTATTTGTTTCTTTAGTATTTAACTTTTGTCTATTGTGCCGTTTGGAGTTGTTAACTGTTGCTGCGTTTCTCCCAGGATTTTCCTTTCTGAACATTGTTGTAAAAAAACTTTTCTCTACATCTTTCTACAACCAATCTTTCTAAAAATGTCCCTTTTGCATCGCGCTTTAGGAGTGAATCGCAGATGGAGATGTTTCCTAATAAATTATTCTCATTCTACGCATTATATCGATCCATATACATATCCAAAAGCTAAAAAAATCTCCAAAAAAAGCTCCAGCTGTTGAAACGTTTGTGTGAGATATATTGAGGGTTTTATGATGCCTCGTGCTGAGTGTGGGTTTCTTGTGCCAGAAGATTAAATTAAATCATTATCAATAGTTCACCGACTACATGGGTGCTTTGCATCTTCCAAATCAAAATTTCTCTTGTTATTACTAGTAGGCAATAAAAATCCTCAAGAATGCCATATAATGTACACTAATAAAACCCCAAATATGCATAAAAACTACTCAAATATTCCATAAATAATTTGCACTAAAATATTAAAATAAAAACCCAGCTAATAATTAGCTTTTTTTCTCATTCTGATCAAATATATATTCCTTTAGAAAGAAAATAGAGCAGAAAAATCTGTCCCTCAAAAAATCATATAATTTAAAATTTTACATAAATTAAAAAATGAAGCGTAATGAACTACATGATCTGAATTAAAATTCAATTTTCATTTCTCTAAAATTATAGCATTTATTGCTCAACAAATAATTCTGCTATAAAAGAAAAATCCATTTCAACTTCGACAGAAGTGACGGGAGCATACCTGTAGGAACTTAAATTAACTAGATCATTGATTTCCTGTATAAAAAATTTATTTTTTCCATTTAGGATTTCATTAATTTCTCCCAATTCAAGCAATCTTGTATTTTTGCTATTTGTGGTGCAAAAAAAATTGAATGGATTCAAACCCGGGACCTTACCAGGTCAATGCCTAAACTGTTGTGGCCACCGACGCCCCTTTGGGATGTTCTTTAATTTATCTTGCAATATAGCTCCTCCATTGCTGGGGATTTACTCATTTCCTTTTTTTTATGAAAGGACAATTCCAACCTGCTATTTTAGAAGTTGAAATTACCATTTTCAGTATTTTTTAAGGTGTATTAGGTTGAAAATATGAAAAGAGATTTAGAGGGCAATTTTTGTTCTTGAAATTAGGCCCAAATTTCCACAATTCGACTACTTCAATAAAGTAATTTTTCAGGAAAGACAAAAAAAAAAAAAAAAAAAAATGCACCTAGAAGTTTTGGAAATAGTTGTCTCAAATAAGGTGCCGATTATTTCAAGAAAATTGTACTGTGACATTTTTTCCTCTCATATTCTTAACTAATTTATTTTTATTTCTTTAATCAATTAACAATGTTTCAAAAATTGAAGAATTCTTCAAATATGCAAAAATATGTCGAAAATTTGAACCATTGATTCACAGAAATTTTTTTGTACAATGCTATGAGCTTATTTTACAAGTCAATATTTTTCATTTTCTGTCAAAAATAGCTAAATTATAGTCAAATTTAAATTTCTAGCTTGAAGGGAGATCACAGACTACTATCAAGAGGTGGTCTCAAGGTGTGTCGAGTGTCGTCGTAAGTGGGCTTTATGGTACTACATCTTTTGCAGTTGATCCTTTCTACCGAGTGCTATTCTTCACTTGCCCTAACGAAGGCACTATCAATGCCACAAAGCTCGATAACGGCACTTCTACCACCGTTGTTATCCGGACTCATCCTTCTGAAAAACCAAAGTTCATCGCTCTTCATACTCTAAAAGGGTAAACTTTTTTTCTGTATTAATTATTCTTTTTGTTTAAGGTCTTGGTTGGGATGAAAAAGTTAGTGTCACCAGTGGGATTTGAAGGTCGTGGGTTCAAAATCCGCTTGTGACACTCACTTTTTCATCTCAACAAAGACCTTACATAGAAAGAATAATTAATTGAAATAATTAATATGGTCAATTAGACCACTAAACATAAATGGAATTGTTTATAAATTTGTTGTATTGTTTAAGTGATTTGTTTGATTTTTGTTTTAGTTTGTTGTTTTGGGTCGGAGAAAGCAGGGAAAGTCGGATTTACAAAAGTCGTATGGACGGAGTGAGGAGAGTGACTTTAATCAGCAACCTACCCCAAGTTGTTTCGTTAGCAGTGGACCAGAAGGATAGTGCCATTTATTGGGCCACAGGTATGCATCTAGAGTCGGCCGATTTTGAGGGAAAAAATAGGTAAATTATTTATTTCTTTAAAAACTAAGCTCTGTTAAAAATTTGTTTTTCTTTGAGTCTATTTAAAGTGACTTTTATTGTAGAGTCATAATAGCAACTGGAGAGAAAATAAATTGGATAGCAGCGATGGGCAAGTCAGTATATTGGATTCATTCAACATCAGTGATGAACTATGACAGGCACACAAATCATGCTAAAATTGTGTTCAATTCCCACAATCACCTTGTAGCTTTAATTTCTATGAGGGTGCCTTCAAAAAAGGTAGTTTTTCATATATATATATCTATGTAATTTTGTTGTACTAACCAAACAACCTTTTCTAGTCTCTAATTCAACCAAATTGGAAATGCTGGAATGGGGAAATATTGCAGTCCCATATAGATTGTACAAGGGAGGGCCCGTGTTCGCACGATCAATTCTCTTGCATTTCATCTCCGGGAGAATGCATACCGATGAAGTGGAGATGTGATTCCATGGCGGATTGTTTTGACGGAAGTGATGAGACTAATTGCCCCCAGTGCGCTCCTGACAAATTCACCTGCCAGCCATCGTTATGCATCGGTATGTTTGGCGTTTGAGTCGTTCTAAAACGTACTGATATCGGATTTTTTTAAGATATGAAATTTGTCTGCGATGGGACTCCTCACTGCCCAGACAATTCAGATGAAAAATCCTGTTGCATCACAAGTGGAGGCCATCAGTGCGGTTCGAGGTGCATACCGGCACAGAATATATGCGACGGCTGGTCAAACTGTTCCGATGGTTCAGATGAGTCTGCTGAGGCATGTGCCACTGCTGACAGAAGAAGGATGGCAGTGGTATCAGATGGCCATATCTCTCAAGGGCCCATTGTATTCATCGTTTTTGTCATTGCTAGTCTTATTGCTCTTGTTGGCTACTCCATTTTCAGATGGCATTCAAGGTAATTAATTATTATTATTATATTAGAGAAAGGAAATTTTAAAAATTAGTAGTAATTTAGAAAACCTATGTATTAATTTTAGTACACTACAGTCCTGTTTAACACAATTTCATGAGACCATATATGGTGGTATGGTATGGTAGAAAAGGATACTAGGAAGCGGGGTTTGTACTCCCCAGGCACTGCATTACAGTTACACTAATTACTTAAAGTCTAAGTTACATGTTTCACTCTTCTATTTTTTCGATAAGTAGATTAACTCATGATTTATACCAGCTCATGAATTTTATTTCAAATTTACATAGTGATGAAAAAATAAGTAACCCTTGAATATTAATTTTGAAAACGAAAAAAAAAGAAAGAATTTTGCTTATTGTTTTTTTTTTAAATTCCACTAGACCAACTTAGTACAAGTTAAATTATTATTGTATTAAATATTTCGCATCCGACATCTGATTACAATAATAAGTAATCATGAACCTTTTTTCAACAATGGAGTAAATAGTTTTAATTTGATTAAATTCGAATCCCGCTCGTGACATTGACTTTTTTATCTCAACTAAAAACCTTAATTGTAATATATTGATTGGTCAAACAGACCACGAAATTAGTGAATTAAATAAATAAATAAATGAATAGCAACTATGTGCATAATGTCCACTATCTGCTATATTCAAACAATGTCCAGTACATCCTGAAGGGTACGCGGCTTTGTCCTCGATGCGATCTTGTTCCCCAGTTGGAAGTGTATGGCTCCTTGTACTACTGGTAGTCGGGAGTGAAACTTTCTGAATCTCTCTTGGATTGTTTCGCCGATAGAAGGTATGTTGAGTTCCCGGTGCAACTGGGAACCACGCTGTGTCTACTGCAATCCTCAGAATTTTGTTCTACCTGGATTCTTTTAATTTTGGATGGTGGGCAGCCCCCATATTTCACACTCGTAAAGGTCTTATGTTGGATTTATAAATCAGGAGAGATATTTTAGGTTTAAGCCTAGATTTTCTATTCATTGATGGGTACAACATACTGAGGCGGGCGTATCCATCTTGCTTTGCCATTAATGTGTATATTATAATTTAGTCTCCTGTCCATTTTTATTCCGAGGAGGGGTAACACTTGTGTTTTACAAAATCATAAACGTTCCGTGAATCCACTTCCACATGACTTCCAACAGCAATAGTTAATTTTTAATAAAAAGTGTGATTAAGCAAGCGTTTGTGTTGTTTTTAATTAACACATTGGATTGGTAAACTCAGATCTAGGTTTTCTAGTCAAACCACAGGTATGACTATCACTGTAATGCCTTATTTATAAAAGCATTTGTGGTAGGAAGGGGCATTTACTTGGAATTGTACAGTCTTTTCGCCCCAGTGCCGAGGTTTGTTTACTATTGATTGTCGTTTATTGTTTGTAAATTGGTTGTGTTCAAAAGTTCAGCATTTTTGGTAGTAACATTGGACTAATCTTAGCTCAATTCCAAAACATATAGTGCTAAGATTATTTTGACTTCATTAAATTCAGAGCAGCAGCGTATCTAGCTGAAGATCGTGGGTTCGAATCCCGCTCGTGCCATTGACTTTTTTATCTCAACTAAAAACCTTAATTAATTGTAATTATTTTGCCTTTTTATGCATTCACTAAACGACACTCACACATAGGACAGGGCAGTTGTAAAACAAGAAAAACTTCTTGTATTAAAATTAACAATTGAATCAATAAAATAAGATTAATGATAAATTTGTTACAATGAAATGAAAATAGAATAACTCATTTTTATTCTTGAAATCTGATTAATTAAATATAGAGTACTTTTTTTAAAATCTCCTTTTCCTCAAGATAACATGATGATCATTTCGATCATCGTATTCGTGGGAGCAAGTTATTGCTTACTGACAATATCGTTACTCCAACCTACAGTACTATGATCAAAATTACAAATCAATGAGAATTTATTAAATAATAACTAAACTATTTATTGAAAAGTAAATAAATGGAAATTAAATAGGGTCCTTATACCATGTGAAAATAAACTAAATTAAAATTAAAGTTCAAGTTAACAACAAAACACAACAATCTCTTTGACACCAAAGACTCAAATTTGCTTTTCATATTTTGTTAATAGCGATAGATTCGCATCTCGCCTACACCACTTATAACATAACTGGCCTTTTTCTTCTCACAATCTGTAGAACATTGATGGGGAGGGGTGCTTGGTCAATCTGACGTGAGGTTCTAGCGTAGTCACACTCTGTAGCATCACACATATAACAATTAAAAATGCCTTTTTGATGGATGCCAATGGACCAACCAATATAGAAATGTCCAGTCTTTTTTGAAACAGAATACACATTTTTTATTTTTTATTTTTATTGTTTAAACAACAGTGTTTCAAAGTTCAAAGCACCCACCGATACACTGTCTTGAGCATTCCCAAAAAATAGGCCTCTTCCGTTGAAGTCTCCAGCCTCCTCGACCATGTGACTAGCAGAAGAGCGTTTTGGCGGCTTTGAATTCTTCTGCCCCTTTTTTTTATTTTTATTATTATTATTATTACCCTGTGACGGAATTTTAACTGCAAAATTATATGAACCCCTGTGGTGATGGTGTTTTTGAAAAAAAAAAAAAAAAATTGTAAATATGTCGAGTTTGAATGCAGGGCCACTAATGATGAGTGTCATGTAATTAAATTAAACTGTAGCGGCCACCGATGCCCCTCCTGCCTCCTTAATAGTGTCGATAGTGGAAGGAAGCTTTGGCGGCCTTTACAAATATCACTGTCATAGGTACTCCTAAGACAAAAAAAGAGAGAAAAAACTAAATCACTTAGGCTAATATGCCCAAAATTGACAATACTAGAAAGTCAGTTGTATAAAAAACATGATGATACAACTGCCTCGCAGCATGTTCTTCTTGAGCAAGAAAACTTAGAAGTCTCCAGCTTCCTCAACAGTGTGTCTAGTGAAAGGGCGTTTGAACTCGGAAGCAACTGTCCGAGCAGTCTGGGTGAAAATAAAATGACCAAATCGCTTGATCACTCATCACTCGTATCTCATAGTAGAAACAGTATGATTGAGTTCTCAAAAGATGCTGAATAATTTCATGATTTTACTACTCCTTGATTATGCCCATCACTAATATATACATACGCATGCAATAAGAGGCCCTGGTATAAATCCTGATTTTTTTAAATATTTTTATTTGTAGGGCACATTAACATTGAAATGGGTTAATCAGGAATTCAGTTTAACTAGTCTGTAGTGTTTTTCATTTATTTGGTATGATTTACATGTTCGTTTTTAGCAAGAAGTTAAAAATTAATGTATTATTGTGTTCTGTTTTGTTGATAATAAACAAGTTTAAAATAAATTTTTGTAATTGTTGATCATTTCGATTTGCCTATCTTGCTGGGTTGGTCTGTCAGATATGGGTTGCTGGGTCTGTACGATTTAAATCGATTTGTGAATCTGCTGTCTTCATTAGTCTGTGCTTTTTTTGGCCATTGACCCAAACTGAAGATGGCAAAATGCCAACTTGCATCTTGATAGGCGATAGGTAGATCAAAATGGCCAAATTACATATTCATAATCCAAATTTCACTGCAATTATCTTAAAATTGTTTTGTATAATTTATTTTGTCTATTTTTTCTAGAAAATTAAAATCAGGTGTGGCTGTTGTGGGACCGAACGATCCTGCGTTGGATCCTCTATCTCCCAAAACAAGAAACGGCCAGGTGCCAGTCATGGGAACTAAGTTGCATCCCGGATCAGGTATAGTGAGAATGTCATCATTGCAGAGGTCCACTTCATCACAACCGTCTACAGGATCTCTGTTCTGTTACCCTTTGAACCCACCGCCATCACCAGCGACTACCAACAAAGAGCGGCTTACATTTTATCGTCCACCGCCGCCCACGCCTTGTTCAACTGATGTTTGTCACGAGACCGACTCTAATTACCAGGGGGAGAGTGAACCTCTTCCCCCTCCACCAACACCTACGAGCGCATCACCATCACCGTCATCGTCTACATACTTCCATCCTACTCCACCGCCGCCTTCTCCAACTGTATAATTTTGTCTCTTTGTGATTTATGTGGTTGACAATCTGTGATAATTTTGTTTAACTGATTTCTTCATTTCTTTTCTTGTTTTTTTCTTTTTTTAAGCTCAACTAGTTGGTTTGGGAGAAATACTCTTTAGAACTTTTATTTGGAACTATTGCTCATTTCTCCTAAGAAATTGAAATTAATTGCAATTGTCTCTTGTCAGGTTGCTTTTAAAACCATATTCCTTTTTTACATGACAAAACACAAAGCGTACAAACATGCTAAAACTTCTTTTTCTGTCACATACTATTGTATAGTTTTTGTCTTTATTTGACTATTCTTATACCCAAGTGCCACTAGATTATCACCATTTTGAAACTGTATAATTTAGTTTATGAGAAGACTGTCAAGTCTAACCTTTTGAATTCCTTTTAATTATATTGACTGATTTAGGCATTACAACACACTTAAGGCCTGTGTTAATTAAGTCTTGCCAAATTAAAATAATATAAGTGCAATTTTTAAAGTAAGTAGCATGTAAGTCGATAAAGATTATATTAAAATTTTAACTGGTTTAATTCTGAGTGATAAAACATATCTTGATTTTTTTTTGTCACTTAGCAATATAAATTCTCACTTGTGCCTTTTTCTATTGCCTTTGAAGAGGAACGTTAGTGTCTTTGGAAATTTTTGTATAGATGTAAAATATTTGTTTTATCCTATAAAGTGAATGTACAAATTATATTTAATAAAATAATACGATAAGTTGCTTAATTATGTAAATTCTTAAAGTTTATAAGGTGTATAATAAGTGCCTTTCATACCTACATCTTTAAATATTTATTGTTTTTACTTTGTTGATAATACAAATAAAATACAAACGTTACAATTTTAAATGTATTTTTTATTCTATTTTATCTACAAGTGGGCATCGATTGGTTCGTCACATTTGGTGATTAAAATCATTTATTGTTCGTCATGAATTTTGAATCGTTTCATCACAGTCAACCGTATGATACTTTTCTGTCCTGACTATCTACTCAGAGAAACTGGAAAATAATTATTTCAAGGACGGGCTGAACATTGGTCAAATCCATAAACAGAGTTGTTTTCAGTCATTTAATATGCAAATCAAATACATGCCATAATCAAAATAAAAGGTCATGTTATATAACTTTCAATTTTTTTTTCTTTTGGCCAACCTTCATGACCAATGTCGTTAAAGCAGGTTTACTATTTCTTAGCGGCTAGATTTCATTTTAGCTCATAAACATGTAATCGGCTCTACAGGATATTACTATTCAATACGCACAATTTGGTGAATTTATTCTTTTCGACTATAAATGCATTGCCACGTTTGGAGACCACCATCAGGTTGGAAGACGTTGTTAATACAGCGGCCATGTCGTTTAATCAGATGTACAAGGTGCAGTCAAGCCACTGAACATCATTAGATATTGAACAGTTAATGAGATATGGCGTCATGAAGAAGGTACAGCCAAAACAAACAAAATCCTCGGGATTGACGAAACGATTGATGTTGGCCAAAAACTGGTATATGATGAAATGATTCAGAAATTCACCTTTCTGAAACAAAAGAATGCTGTGAATCGATGAACACTGCTAAAAGTAGAGTGAAACATCTTTTCCTCCTATTAATCCCCCTTACACCACACATTCATAGACAAAGTGTGGGAGAACAAGAATCGAAACCAGGAGGAACTAATGGGACGAAGTTGGCTGGCACGGTGGAACTGATGGAGGGTGGAAAAGCAGCGGCGGGGGATCTGGGAAATATGAGGTTTCCAAGATAAGGTCTGGTCAAGTGCGATCCGAAGGTTCTTGACAGTGGGGCAGAAAGAAATAGGATGATTGTTAATGGTAAAAGGAGGGATACAAAGTAAGGATTGGAGGAGAGAACGAGACCCAAACCCGATGGCCTGAGACCTTTTTGACATTAAGGTTAAGCCCAATTTTTAGTGACCCAGAAGCTAATTGGATTTAAGTTGTGAATTTTTACAATTGAGGCTTGTAAGTCAGTAGGCGGAAACCTTTGGGAATTGTCTGCATAAAGATGTTCGAAGCAATGTTTTACGGAATTAAGAAAGTCGTTAATATAGAAACAAAAAAGAGAAGCAGTGATACTTGACTCGAGGGAATCCAGAAGTGGGGTAGAGGATGGAGGACTAACTAGGGTGTACATGGCGAACTTCGACAAAATTAATAACTTAAAAAATAAAGTAATATGAATAAATAAAAAACTAATGAGTACTGAAAACGAAAGTTTTTATTTTTTATTTATTCATTCTACGTTTATTTGTGCTCAAGTAAGCAAAATAGATAAGGTAAGTAGACGGACAGGACTGGACTGGAGTGTGGACGGTCGATCGGTTTCCTAGAATACTGAGGTCCTTCATTACTGAAATGCTGCTCCTGGAATACCCTGGATTTTTCCAATGTTGTAGAAAGTCTTCCAAACAGTTTAATGGATCCAATTAAATGCAGTCGTTATTTTGAGAGAACACATCCAGAAATCGAGAAAAACACTGATTTTTTCATGAGGAAGCGCACTGAAAGAAACATTCGTATTAATTTGAAGATAGTGGCCAGTTTTGTTGAAACTGAAAACGGTTTGACCCACCCATTATTGGTCTTGCAGCATTGTATCTTGAACTGTTGGGAAGTAGTACACAAAGGACATCTCCAAACTTCGAAGGTGGTTCGACGGTTTTCATCATTAGAAAAGGCTAATAAAAAATAATTATTACCGCAAAACAAGAGATCATTATAGTATGAACAGAACAGGCCCTAGGTGCGTACCTTGAGGGACGCCAGAGGTGGCCATAAAACCAGAAGTTTTGATCCTGAATAGAACAAACAATGAACAATGTTTCAAGTATGATTGTTCAGAAATCGTGAGATGCGGTCTGGTGTCATGTAGGTTTCAGAAAAACATTTTCTTTATCGTGCCAACGTTTCGATCTTTATTGAGATCATCTTCAGGGCTCAAAGTGTTTGTCTTCTGTGTAATTGTGACATTCTTGCGTGTCGTGTTGAGAGTTTCTGAAACCTACATCACACCAGACCGCATCTCACGATTTCTGAATAATTATCGATTAACGGTCACTAATCACCACACGTTTCAAGTATGATTCAATCCATGAAACTATTTTGCCCTGAATGCCAAGATGCTGGATTTTAAACAATAAACGGTTAAATTCAACCAGAATCAAATGCCTTGGAAAGGTCAGTGTAGAGAGTATCCACCTGTAATCCATCCTCAATCATATTCGCAAGAAATTCACGGAAAACCAATGGATTCGTAGATCTTTCAGGCGTAAAATCATGTTGTTCTTCTGCAATAAAAGTCGATACTGACTAGAAATTGCGTCTGTAACAATTGATTCTTGGGAAGATAGCTTAACAATTGGGCGATAGTTTACAATCTTGATTCTATCACCTTTTTTAAAGACTGGTATAATAAAAGTTTTTTTTCCCATAGGAACTGTACCGTGACTCAGAGGTTTATTAAATAACATGCTAAAAGGCTTTACAAGATATAAGGAGCAAGACATCCAAATTAAAGAAGGCACATCATCAGGACCAGGTATTCCATTGGACTTAATTTTTTGAATTTGATCAAAAATCAAGGATTCAGTAAAACTTATATGACTTTTTGAGTTTTCCCTCCTTTTTGCCATTTTTCAACTCAAAAGGTGGGGTTGAGATGGGAAGTTGGAGTCCGAGTGGATCGAAGTCACGATAGCTCAAGTGGTAGAGCAGCGACGTATCTAGCCGAAGATCGTGGGTTGGAATCCTGTTCGTGCCATTGACTTTTTTATCTCAACTAAAAAAAAACCTTAATTAATTGTAACTTATATTACTATTAAAAACCACTTTTTGTAATACCCTAAAATGGTACCGAGTTACATTGAAAAGGTTTATAAGGATCGGACATAGAAGGTAAGATATTACTCAAAAAGAAACTACCAATTCGTTCGGTGATGTGAACATCATTATCATAAACACAACCAGCACCATCAACCATCGATTTAGGATAACATTTCACCTGTTTCATCGAGTTTACAAATGACCAAATGTGTTTAATATTTTTACCCAAACGAGAGGTATAACAAATATAATAATTCGTTAATAATATTTTATGCATCTCATAGCACCTAGCTTTTTCTGTATTTGTCAGATTATAATTTTGTGAATTAGCTGTACGAAATGGTTTAAACATTTTTGTTTAGATTGATATCAATTCTTTTTCTCTTTACAAAATTGCTCTTTCAATGTAGCTTTTGCCTTTTCCAATTTCAAAGTCAGCCTGTCGGGCACGCATTTCAGGCTAAAAATTAAACAATGAAAATTATAACGGGGCGGCAGAGTGAAAAAAGAAAAAAAAAACGAGGGGACAGAATGGAAGTCTGAGAGAGCGGAACGGCTTCCTTCCTGTGAGGAAACAGGAAGCCGGAGAAATAGTGTGTTTTAAATCATAGCCGATGGTGATCTCTCTCTCTCTCTCTCTCTTTCTCTCTCTCTCCCTCTCTCTCGTTCTCTCCTAGCGAGATTTCAGCTTTGTATCTCACGTGATCAATAGAATCATCAGTAAAAATGAACTCGAATCATTGGAGCACCATTTCGTCCTTGATAAGGATCATGGAAGAAAATGGCGGTACACTCGCGGTAAATGAAGGGACCATTTCCTGCTCTCCTCTCTAAATGACTTTCATTATGTTTTTTGCAGGCAATTTTGTCCTTGTGGACTTCCGAAAAATATGTCGAATAACTTACCAAATAAGTAAACCGATATTATAAAAGGTACAAATTTATAGTAGTCCTTGCAGAAACAAGCCTTTTTATTATTTTTTATTCAAAACTTTCAGTATTTATATGACCATCAAGAAGACTAGAAAAACTTTGTCTTTTAGTTTAAATTTTTAAATAATATGTATGATGATTATTTCTTCCAAAACTCAGGTCCCAGGTACCACATTGATTTGTTGATTTTCTATATACTTGCTCCCAAATAGATAAGAGATTTACAGGACTTTGGAAATAGGGAAAAAGGTTCAACCTGATATAAACTGGAAAAGCAAAAAGCAAAAAAGCAAAACTCCATAAAATACCACGTACCGCAAACATGCTCAGTGATAAAACAGAATGCGAACACTCGATCTTGAAGAAGAAAGCAAATTTAGTTGCTACGCCAAGTTTTCGACTTATTTCAAGGTCATCATCAGGGCAAAACACCCTTAAACATGTCTTCAGATTGACATGTTTAAGTTTTTATAGGCGATTTAAAATTTCCTTGAATGTCGACTGAGTCCCATCGTTGCCAAGGACGTTCCAACTTAGTGTAAAAAAATTAAGGTTTTTAGTTGAGATAAAAAAGTCAGTAGAAATGATAAATGATGGAGTGAGTGTGGTGTTCAATACTTTTTAAAAGGATAGTTCCTACTCACAGTAAGTTTTTTTTTCAACTTTAGAAATGTAATTTTGATTTTCAATGGTAACTATACTATTTCCTTCATCGGCTTTTAAAACAACGTTATTGTTACTTTTTAACTTTTTATCAATAGACCTAATTGTACGTGGGATATTTAATTTATTTACGTTTAAATATTTCAGCACATTTATATTTTATATTTGTATTTATGTTACTACAATCCACCGATGAACCAAGGGATGGTAGTTTTTTTTGTATCCAATTCTGTTTTAGGGACAAATTTTAACCCTTTGTTTAATAAATTGGTTTCTTCTTTATTTAGTGCCATGTTTGTTAAGTTTATAACCCTTGGGTAAAATTTAACTGGAGTTTTTGGATCTTTATGGGTATTTTTATTTTTAAGTGAACCGTACTTCAAGCTTTTGATTTTTATCAGTGATAAAT